GTGTCAGGAAGGGCATCCGTCATAAAAACTGTGCCAAATCAAATATGCGGATCAATGATCCGCTTTGGTGACCCCTAACAGGAGCAGCTGAAAGAACAAGAACACTGGCTATTTTTACTTCTAGCACTTTTGATCACTGAGACACACTGAGCTTTTTTGAGCAAGAAATATCTTCAACATTTTATTAACAGCTTTGTTTAAAGCAGTTATAGATGAGTAAATCTGATACTCACGTGTTGCCCACAGGCTATTGGAAAAGTCTGTGATTGGTCAGTTGCAATGTTGGTTAAACGGTCTCCTCCTGATGATGAAGACAATTCTTGGCTGCATTTAGGGATAAAATATACCAGGCTCTCCAGTGAAAGCTGGTGGCCTAGTTTTGCGAGACTTTTTGCTGTGTGACTATGGTCGTATTTCTTGACATTGATCAGAACAGCAGAGGTGCTTTATGCGATTACTGGAGCCACACAAAAAAGCTCAGCCCCGCTCTTGAACTCAGTATCAGGTAAATAGACTTTTCAACACTTCTCCACAGCACGACACAGTGTCTCTTCACCTCTACACGCAGAATCTTACGTGCCGTTCCCCCAGAGATGAAGCAAAACAGGGATCCGGTGTGTGAGTTAAAGGAGGACGATTCTATCTCTCAGAATGATGAACGGTTGTCCAGCTGACGGGAAAGGGTCCGGTGAGCAGCCCCAGATTGCATAGTTTAGCCATGTGGAAGTCATGCGGCTCTCTAAATCAGCTCATAAATGTGTCTAGCAGCAATGCACTTAATGCAGCAGTCGACTGCTGGCCTTCTCATGGGTTAACTCCAATCACAGCCAACCTGCGGGGATGCAGACAAAGTGCTGTCTTGAAATGCAGCTCTCATTATGAAGGCCACTCTTATGTTGCCCTGGAGTTTTGAAGTCATATTTGTGTTGGTGTTTTTTGCAATAAGGGGAGGTTATGAGTCAAGCCTAGTTTTATGGCGAATAAAACCTAGGTGTGGCACTCAGGTCAAAAGCAAGCATTCCAGTACTTCAACACAGTTGGCAATACAAGATATGGTGTGAAATCTGCTGTAAAGAGCATCCCAACTGTGCTAATCTGCAAAAAAAGCTATCTGTGCGAGTAAAATATCTTGAATATAGGTACATTTACTTTACATATTATGTCTCATTATGAGATCACAGTAAAAAGAAAAGACTATTAAGCCTATTTCTAGGTTTCCTTCCTTTCAAGCTTGAAATTCTCTTGTTATATTGGCAGATAATTCTTCTAATTTCAAGCATTTTTTTAAAAAAAAAGAAACAAAATTATCCACCAATAGAACAAGACAATTTCAAGCTTGAGATTAGTAAAAGTGTTCACAAATAAACATAATCCTCTTCTATTTGTTTTTAGTATAATCTCAAAATGAGACATTTTTTTCTTTTCTTCCCTAGAAATATCTATTTTTTTAAATTCTCAAATGAACTCGACAGTCAAATTAGTGTGATAAGAAAATTTTTCTTGGCAGAAAAAAAAAATGTTTCACACAGCATGTATGCTATGAGGTTACCCTCAGTAATGGTATTCTATATGTCTTCACTCACGGGAGTCAGTAACAGCAGCTTTGTCCGCCTACACCGAGCAGGAGACAAGAGGGTTAAGGGGTTGTCCTGATTGTCTTAATGTGTTCAGGAGGGAGGGTTGGGATGCAGAGGGATGAAGGAGGCAAAGACTTTCTCTTGAGCAGGGTAATGGCTGCCATTACGACGCTTCAAAACATGGCCATCCATCAACCCAGATGCAGGGCTGCTGGAGGGAAGATCAGCAGCAACTGTAATGGCGAGGGTGTCCTCTTCACACTGAGATGCTTCCCCTCGATTCACCCCATCAGCTCACAGCAGGAACGACGTACTTCCTCTTTTGATGGATGCGTGTCAACAGATCAAAGGCAACGGCATCTGTGTTGCCTACTGCAGCTAGGAGCTTTTTTCCCCCCATTTTTTTTCCCCATTCTGCCCTTCATCCAGAAGACTTTTGACAGAAAACTTAAAGTTGCAGAATTACCTCTTATAAAGCACTGACACTGGAGCCTCCTTCCAAAAACTCTTTACAGAAAACTTCACCATATCAATATTTTTTTTATCTGTTTTGTGGAGTCTCTGCCATACAAATACCTGTATGTGTTGCTACAATAAAAACAATAAAGCATTAGAACAAGTGCATTAATATAAACCTGTACTGAAGCATTGAAGCAGTCACTACTGACAGAGCTGCAGTTAATCAACACCTCTAACCAATCAGAATTAAGGATTCAGTAGCACTCTGGTATAAAAGTATTTTAATCATTGTGCTTTAATTTTATATAATATTTTATTTTCCACATTCATACTAAGAGCAGCTGACTTGAACATAGCTACACGAGTACGCCTGTGAACAGTTGTATGAAAGAGCACATGCTGGCAGTAGTAAGTGGAGAGGCATTGTGAGGAGGTTGTCTGAAAGATTGGAGTTTTATTAAGAGCAAACAGCCTCTGAAGCAATGAAAATGTCCCCTGTTCATTTTTCAGGAGTTATTTCCATCACACAGACTAAAGCATACAGCTGGTGACCATATTTTGGGCTATTTCTCCTTTGTATGTCAGAACTTCACCAGCATTATTGGTATCAATATGAATATTGTTTAAACATCAGAGTAAATCACTCACTGAAAAACACATTCGGAGTGCTTTAGAAAAAGACTTTAATGATGTTTGACTGTTTGGCTCAATAGGCAAAGAGGGAGACAAGCTTGCTAATCTACAGTGACCTTCAGTCACACACAAAAAAGCTCAATTGGAGTAAAAAATTTGAAATAATTAAGCCATTTTTTTAGTTGTGAATAACAGATTGTAATGGCTTCTCTTCTCTTTTTTTAAATCACTAATACTACTTCACAGAGAGTCAAAATGATTTCATGCATACATACCCAGAAAATCTCAGTCCGTTCAAATGCCTTCAGCTTTAAATGGGTTTGATGGAGTAGTACATTCATAATGTTTAATGAAAGACTAACTTTAAAAAGTGGTTTTTTTTTTTTACATTAATATTTTAAATGCATTCTGCCTTGCTGTTAGTCACCACTGATAAAATGATGGCTATGAAGTACTGTAAAATTACAGCGATTTATTGAAAACAAACAAAAAACAGTAACATACTGCTTTGAACTTTATAGTACCTACTGTGACTGTAAGACGTAGGTACATAAGTATACATGAAGGGTTGGAATTATTTTCTTCTTATTACTACCAATATATTTCTACTCCTAAAATGTTTAAGAAAAATGCAATAGTGAAATAAAACAAATGAATCAACTCCAAAAGCTCAATGGTGTGACGTTCTATACTCCAACAAGGCACAGGCATCACTGTTTCAAATTGAAGAAGGACAGAACTGTCAGCAGTTGTTGGATGATTTAATTTGTCATTACTTTGGTGTTAATAAGTTTTGGTGTTCATAAGGCGGATATTTAAAAAAAAAAAAAGAAAAGAACCGGAAGCAAGTGCCACAACCCTCATTATAAACAAATTTTGGATTTAATAAAAAGGCAAAACACCAGTGCTAGCTTGAATGCTAGCGATGACGTCATTAACAACACATTACCGTAGGCTGCCACTGCTGAAGTTTTGCCATTGGAGAACAGTGGAGAGCAAGTTGAGGACGGCTAGGCCCAGGTGTGTGATACGGCAATTTTCTCACTGGCAACTAATCTCCCCTATAACTGGACACTACACAGTGGAGAGAGTGGAATGAGAAAAGCCCTTGGCTATGGGATTCTTGCACAAATACTTCTGCGTCCTTCTTAGCACTGCTCCTGCATTTCTGGTTCTTTCACTACACTCACAATGCCAGTATTTTACAGTTGGTATCTGCAAAAGCTCCTGAAGTTAAATGTCAGTGATGTACATTAGATGAGTAAGAATAATTACAAATCCATCTAGCAAGCAGGAGAAAGGTTTCAAACTGTATGCTTCATCATACATACACGACTGCAAAGGTAAGAAAATACCCATATAAGTAGCTTAAATAAATACAGGGATAATAGTTAGAGAAGCCTAAAGGATAAGCTGCAATTTCGCTGTACTGACAAATGTAAGCAGTGAGGAAATATTGGATGCCATATCTACACAGAAGAAAAGACTTGCTTTCCATTACTGATTGCTGTGGTTGAGGGAATAAATGCAGATTTTCTTAATACTTGACAAAACTAACGACAGTTAAAAAAAAGTCATGACAAAACATACTCTACGTCATGAGTTGCGTGTGCGCAGTGTCTCATTTTAGACACTACTTTAAAACATGACAGACAATTTTAACAAAAGGCAGGGTGGAATTCAAAAACTGTATATAAGTGTCACTAAAATAATCTGAATAAATGATCAGTAACAGATTGTTACAGTTGTAACAATGGTTCTGCACCTGAGTGGACCATCAGTGCACTTTGGTTTGAAACTAGTGGAATTCCCCTTTACTCATTTCATTGCCAGGTTCCAGTAGCAAAGTCACTGCATTAGCATTAGCATGACCTCACATTGGTAGGGATGAGGTCGAAGCGGGAAAATCACTCACAGTGTTAATATTGTTTACTAGTGAGTATAGGAATCACTCAACACTCCAATACTGCTCTCTAATGAGGGTGAAAATTAAATTACTCGAGGTGCTGTATTCTGTTGAAGATGAAGATGACTCAAACTCACCACAAAGGACATGAGCTGTGTTGAACAAACATTCAATCTGGCAAAAATAGACAGTGAACTCATCTTAATGCTACCCAGGAGGTAGCTATAATGCACATCAAAGTATGCATATACAATCACTTCCTTTCCCCAATGGGCTAAGTTGTGTTTAGAAGATGAAGCTTTTTATGTCACATATACATAAAAGTATAGTTCAGAGCAATTCGTTTCTTCACATATCCTAGTTTATTAGGAAGCTAGAGTCAGAGTTAGCCACGATCTTTGTTCAAGGGCCCAACAGTAACAGTTTGGCAGTGCTGGGGCTTGGACTCACGACCTTCTGATCAGCAGCCCAGAGCCTTAACCACTGAGCCACCACTGCCCCAAAATAGTAAACCTTTAGCAAGCAGATTGCAGGTTCCACTGAGATTTGAACTCTGATTACTTGAATCAGAGTCCAGAGTGCTAAGCATTACACCATATAACCTGCAGAATTTTAAGACCGCCAAGCCCCCTTATGGTGTTCCCCAAAGCACACAACTAGCTGGTCGGTGATCCCCTAGCTGGCGACTTCTGCTTGAGAGTCTTCGGTTGAGTGTCACTGGACACATAGCAGGCCTGCACAGCTGTAGGTCCAGATTGGTTGATAGGTTTAGCGATGTTCTGTGGCATCGACAACTTTGGTAGGAATGCCAGATTCGGCCATGCATGTCAAGTCCGGACCCTAATGCAGACACTGCATGCTGACTGATAAGATCATAAACATCCCTCAACTTCAAGAAAAGTTTTTTGAAGTAGTTTAAGCACTCACAGCAGTAAACTGTCCATCTTCCCACTGTGTGTAGATGTTCAGCTGGCCATCCTGAAGTGAAATAAACAAGTTTTTGGGACAAACTTTCAACAATTCACCCAACTTAATGGAATTGCTAAGCTTATGAAATTAGTTATTCTGTTATTCTTCGGCATCCTCCATGCTGCTGCATCCCAGCTTAACCAACAGGCCATGTGCTCATTCAGCAACACAGTCAATCTTGATTAAACTAATAAGTCAAAATATGAACACACTCACAATATCTGACAGTGCAGATTTAAACAATAACAAGGTTAGCAAACATAAAAGGAGCACTATACTCAGCAACTTTGAATCCACTTCCTCATCTCCTTCACAATACAAGAATGGGAAAGCGTGACGTATGGGAGAAACCGCCCTTTGGAAAGGAGGCAGAACTAATGAGACTTATGTCTCCTGTCTCTGTTCTGTCATCACAATAGATACTTCATTGATGGCTTAATACTTAAAACTGGTACATATAAAATACCACAGCAAAATTAAATGAATATATTAGCATTTATTTCTTAGATGGTCCTTTAGAGTGAAATATAGTATCCAACTTCTACAATCCAAAAGCAAAAAAACCCAAAAGCAAACCACTTGAAATGCTCTGAAGAAATGATGTAGATAGTCAGATCCTAGTAAGAGAGAGAAATGGTTGTTTCTCATTTGCTTAGTACGTTCCCTAAAGATTGAACTGCTCATTCAAATCAAAATAGCTTGGCCTAACATAGCAGAGTGCATTCATTGTTCCATCACTGAAAATATATTAATTCCTTATGAGTGACAGCACTCGAGAGATCACATCACAGCTCACCCTGATCCTTGCAGCACAACTGTGTCTGGTTTTGATCAGAAACGTAAGTTCAATACAGTAAGACCATTCGTTTCAGTACAATCTAGAACCATCTTTCTCTTTAAGTCGTCTTCTTCTTTAAAGCTGTCTGCAGCACAAGGAGAACGGATAGACCCATGGCATAGAATTACAACTACAGAAAACACATTCTAGTCATTCTTATCTCTTTATTTTAGATCTTTTTCTTGTAAAATAGCACATAATAACCTTAATGTTTTGATATTGATCTTTCACACAAGTCTTCGTTACACTTAAATCTTATCGCCTTTCTTTTTGTATATATTCTTTATATTCTATTGCCTTGTATTATGCCTATTCTTATCTTATGCCCACATTCATGCAGTCTTTTTTGCTCTGATCTTTGGCATATTCACGTCTCTGTAGTTGTTTCCCTCTCTGCTTTGCTGCATCAGTGAAAAATATAGCAGTATGATAATGCAATGTTATGTCCCGTGCACACTGGTTTTGACATCTAGGCATTTCAATATAAATGTTTCTGTTTAACTGCTCTGACTGGGACAAAGACAATTGATCATTTATCTTAAGATGTGTGCATAGTAGAAACCATGGATTTTGATAGATAAAAACCATCGAAAACACATTTTTCAAACACATAAGCATAGTCATGCTTTAGCCATAAGGTATAGCCATAGACGCCAGCAGATACATATGAAAGGACTACAATATTTTGCACTATTTTGGGCTATTATTTTATGATAGTGCAATTTAGAGTGTAAAGGAAATTGCAACTTTTTAACAACAGCATTAAAACAGCATTTCCATAAATTGAACTTGAGCTGATAAAAGGTAAACTCGGTTTATTATGGGTTGAGGTGTCTCTGTAGACTAATCTGGAGATATAGAGATATGAGCATATGAAAGCTCATGGTTGTTTTACATGCATTACAGCTCTCTAGTATTAAAAAATGACCACTGCAGTACCTGCCATAGTACTCTGATGTAATTAGATGGTTTTAGACTGCAGCAAAAACCTATGCAATGTGCAACTCTTAATTATACGAAAAGTATGAAAGTAAAAGTACAAGAGGCGTACCTAGGAGGTCAATTAGCTTGAATACAAATAGCTATCTTCTTAGTTTTGTATGCATGATGACACATACACTTTCTATAGCTTGCTAGAAGGGCTTTTGCAAGTATTCTTATATATCTGATGAAAGTCACTGACATTCATCTTGAGACGCTCTTACAGACATGGACTGTAAAATGCCACAATTTTGAGTGTGGTGAAAGAAACAGAAATGCAGGAGCAGCACTAAGAAGAACACAGTAGTGTTGAGCCCATTGCACTATAGCCATGTTTATAAAAGGTCAACGCAATCATTGTTGCCCCGAATGTCAAGTGAATAAATGAATAAGTTTAGTTTAGTGAAATTTTATTAGCTACCAGTTGCTATGGTGAGAAACAGGATTAACCAATCACCAATCAGAATCATGTGTTTTTTCAGATTCTATTTCCAAGCTAGCTAGCTAGACTCTGAGCTCAGGGTGAAAGCCAACGAAGTACTGGAAATCTACTGTAGGTGTAGACTAAGAAAAGGGAAGATCTGGTTTTATAAAATAAAATCATTTTTTCCCCTATTACTAGTATCTTATTTTAATTGTTTTCAGTGGAACGCTGATAAAGATGTTATATGGCAATGCTACTAATATGGCAAGATGGCTGACAGTAGATAAATGATTAAATCCCATATTTGTGCCATCACCATTCCTACTATCTTTGGCATCCACCACAAAATGCATGAGCTTGTTCAGCATTGATAAATACAATTGTACAGATCACACAGTGATTTTATTTAATATATTTCCTCATCCCAACTGAAATGAATTCCTGGCCTCAAATCATTGATTAAAATCACTGGTTTTAGTTACTGATGGTAAATTAGTGCGTCTTTCACCAAGGAACCAAAGAATGTGGGAAAACTTAGCTAAGGCTAACTAACAACAGCTTTATTCCTAATGTCGCAAATGCTAGTTAGCATGAAAATAACTCTTATGATACAAACTAGCTGATAGCTAGCTGTCACAATGCAAACTGTCTTGATAAATACAAAGTGTGTGCAGCTGCAGACAGATTACAGTGATGGGTCTCTTTCTTCATGTAGCATCTGTTAAAGTTTAGATTTGTTGGATTTTTGAAGCTGTCTCATGCTCACTGTATGACTTTACAAATATAGGGTTATAGAGAAATGTAGTGTCGTGTTTGAAAATATAGTGAGTATAAAGTAGAGATTTTTCTTTTGAAATGTAGTTGAAGTAGTTTGAAATGTAGGTGAAGTAAAGTCCAGATACTTACTTCATACTTCAGTACAGTAAGTACAGTAACAGAGTAATAGTACTTTGTTACTTCCCACCTATGGTAATATAATGCTATGATATGATATGATCATACATCTAATTCCTGTAAAAAATACAGTCAGGTCACCCAACATGCATTGCATTTACTGTAAATGCATTGTACAGTTGTTGACTCTTAAGATCACAGATTATTACTGAGAAAACTACAGCAATTTCTATTGGGCATCTATATAAGTCATTAATGTAATGCAGTTATATTATAACGCTGTAGCTTAATTCACCATGGTGGCTAATCCACATTTCATGCATTCTGTTAATTAATTACTTGTGATTCATTAAAACGTATTTGACTTAATCATTCCCAAATGATGTTTCCGAATGTATGATGTTTTTCAAAGTGCTCAATGCATTCATACTCCTAGCAGAATAATAGCTTATATAATAGCTTATAGGCTAGGCATACTTTTCCGCATTATTAAAAATATCATGTAGTTTTCTTTCTCAGCCACTAAACGCTAACAGAAATCACCATCCGTAACGGCTATAATGTGATCAAAGCTCCGCTGCACATAATAAGCCTCTACACTCCATTTTGTTTTGAATCATAAAGTGCATGATAATTAGTTTATGCAAATCAGGACTACACTAAAATCTGTAGCTGGTACTTCCTGGATCACTGAACCATCAAAGCTGCACAGACTAACCATCTTTACCATCTCTACCATCTATATTCAGGCCTGAATATGGTGCATAGATCTGACCGCTGAAAGAATGATGATAAATCTCAAGTGACTTAAACTGCCAGGAGAAGGACACATGACCATGCGGTGGTGGCACAGTGGCAGTAGAAATACTTATTACATTTGATTTATTTGCTTATGTCTTTGCATAATAATACACGGAGCATAGAGTAGCATGAGTGAAAGCCTTGGGCATGAGTGTGAATTAAGCAGGATCAATGATTTCAATATTTCACCCTGAAAAGCAGAATGCAAATGTGCCTGGCCTTGCAGTGCTTCTCCAGGGCGACAATGAGGTTCGTTATAAAGGGTTATAGAGGAGAATCACTTTGATTTGATAGCTTGGATAAACAAGAAAAGAAAAACACTCTTCTGTTCAATGAACAAGTAGGAAATCTGGTGTCAGATCAGGTTAAAAGGGCACATGGTAAAAGTGACAGAGGAGGAGCTGCTAATTGAGCACTTCATCTTGCCCTTGATGGTCTCTTCCAGTGGTACACTTGGAAATTTCGTGCACTACTGAGCTCAGCTCTGAGCTGCTAAGGCGTCCTCACTTTCTTTTACTCTCTCGACGCTTTCTCACCCCTGCCAGTGATGACTATAAACAAATAGTAGCAGTGCTTCAAATACTCAGCATGT